GCGTGCCGGCCAGCTGATTTTCGGGCCTTCCTGTCCCACCGGAAGTCAGCAAACAGGCCATTCCCAGCCTATGGATGGCCTCGGGGTAGGGGTGGGAGGCTGTTTTCGCCCCCCCCCAGACTCCAAGAAAGCCTCTGGAGCCTGGGGAGAGCGAAAAACAGGCCTACCGTGCCATAAGTGGGGGGAGTGCAGGGGGGGTCGTGCGTACATGCGTGGGGGAGGGGAGGGCACATTGGATTATGGGTGTGGGCACGTGTGTGCGTGACCCCCTGCACTCCCACTTTTGGTTAGCCATCACTGTTATAGGGTGTCTTGCTTGAGCAGCGGGCTGGACTAGAAGACCTCCAAGGTCCCTCCCAGCTCTATCCTGATTAAATTAAATGGATTTCATTACCCAACTAGGTAACATCATCAGTGCGAGAACTGTGGGGCCCTTGGTGCTGTCTGAGCTTGGTTGTTCCAACTGGGTAACATCATTACTGCTACTGATAGTTACCTAGTTTAGTAATTTTTAATATTCTAAATTTGTTTTAAATTGATTGTTTTTTTTTTTTAATTTGTCTGGGCCAAACTATTTAATTCGATTTTATTTCTGCTTTTTAAATTTTGTATATATATATTTTATTGTTGGCTGTTCACCGCTCTGAGTCCTTCGGAAGTAGGGCGGTATATAAATCAAATAAAGTAAAAGTAATGAAATGCCTGCAAGAAAACCAAGTTCGGACAGCGTGAAGGACCCCGTATCTTCTCCTGAACCTCTCCCTTCCCATCTTCGCTCCTCCCACCTCTTGCTCATTTTTTGTCATTATCTGGATCGGAGGGAACATTCCCCAGTGCTGGGGATCTTCAGCCCAGTGTTTCTATTTTCTAAGGAGGCTCCAGGCATTCTTAACAGGATGACAGAGTTGGGAGGAACCTTGGAGGTCTTCTAGTCCAACCCCCTGCTCAAGAGCCTTGGTGGCGCAGCGGACTAAAGTGCTGTTAAGGTAGCACTTAGCTGCCTGCAATTACTGCAAGTTCAAATCTCACCAGGCTCAGGGTTGACTCAGCCTTCCATCCTTTTTGAGGTAGGTAAAATGAGGACCCGGTTTGTGGGGGCAATAAGCTGACTTTGTATAAAAAAAAAAACACCGCTTGGGAGGGAGGGCAAAGCCCTACTAAGCAGGTATATACAGAAGTATGAAGGCTATTGCTTAACGTATTGTAAGCCGCCCTGAGTCTCCGGAGAAGGGCGGCATATAAATCGAATCAAGAAAGAGAGGAAGAAGGAAGGAAGGAAGGAAAGAAGAAGAAAGAAGGAAAGAAAGAAGAAAGAGAAGGAAGGAAGGAAGGAAGGAAGGAAGTGGGAGACCCTAGGGCCTAGGCCATTTCAAATGGCTGTCCAGCCTCTTCTTAAAAACCTCCAGGGATGGAGCACCCACAACTTCTGGAGGCAAGCAGTTCCACAGGTTAATTGTTCTGTCAGGGAATTTCTCCTTACTTCCATTTAATCAGGATAGAGCTGGAAAGGACCTTGGGAGGTTTTCTAATCCAGCCCCCTGCTCAAGCAGGACACCCTAGACTATTTCAGACAAATGACTGTCCAGTTTCTTCTTAAAAACTTCCAATGGAGCACCCATAACTTCTGGTGGCAGGCTGTTCCACTGGTTCATTGTCCTCACTGTTAGGAAATTTCTCCTTAATTCCAAGGTTGCTTCTCTCCTTGGTTAGTTTCCATCCGTTGTTTCGTGTCCTGCCTTCAGGGGCTTTGGAAAATGAGTGAATCCCCTCTTCTTTGTGGCAGCCCCTCAAATATTGGAAGGCTGCTATCAGATCACCCCTAGTCTTTTCTCTTCATTACACCAGGACTGACATCTTGGGGGGGAAGCAAAATAAAATAAAATACAATGCAAATAGCTGTGGTTTCCCCTTGCAATAGGTTAGATTCTGCCATCTGGGTTGCTCCGGTTAATACGGCAGTGATCCAGGCAACGTGCAAGGAAGATGGGTTGCCAGGAAGGGCATCTGGGCCTAACCACCAAGGTAGGGAGGGGGAGGGGCTTCCCAGGCCAGCTCCAAACAGCCGGACATAATGGCTGACCTCTCTCCTAGCAGAAGCAAGGTCAGCCGTGGTAAACAAGAGAGGCTTTTTCCGGGAATTTTAATTTGCAAGAGAAGCAGCTGGAAGGAAGGACTGCTTAGGAAGAGGGGGGGGGAGTTTTGCGATAAAAAGGGGAAGAGGCCCCAACCGAATGGAAATACAGGTGGTCCTTAGGATATGGAATAATACTGCTGGAAGGGAGATGGGAGTGGGGAGGGAAGGAGGAAAGAGAGATGGGAAGGAAGGAAGGAAGGAAGGAAGGAAGGAAGGAAGGAAGGAAGGAAGGAAGGAAGGAAGGAAGAAAGAAAGAAAGAAAGAAAGAAAGAAAGAAAGAAAGAAAGAAAGGAAAGAAAGAAAGAAAGAAAGAAAGAAAGAAAGAAAGAAAGAAAAAGAAGAAAGAAAGAAAGAAAAAAAGAAAGAAAGAAAGAAAGAAGAAGAAAAAAGAAAAAAGAAAATATATGAGAAAGGTGGAAGGGTGGTATTGATGAGGGAGGGAAGAGAGGGGAAGGAGAAAGAAAAGAGGGAGGGAGAGAGCGGGAGAAAGGAAGGATGAGAGGAAGAGAAGGAAAGAAAAGGAAAGGAGGCAGGGAGAAAGAAAGAAAGAAAAAGAAAGAAAGAAAGAAAAAGAAAGAAAGAAAGAAAGAGAAGAAAAGAAAGAAGAAAAAAAGACAAGACAAGACAAAGGTGGAAGGTGGTATTGATGAGGGAGGGAAGAGAGGGGAAGGAGAAAGAAAAAGGAGGGAGGGAGAGAGAGCGGGAGAAAGGAAGGATGAGAGGAAGAGAAGGAAAGAAAAGGAAAGGAGGCAGGCAGGGAGAAAGAAAGAGAAAGAAAGAAAGAAAAAGAGAGAGAGAGAGAGAGAGAGAGAGAGAAAGAAAGAAAGAAAGAAAGAAAGAAAGAAAGAAAGAAAGAAAAGATAAGAGAAAGGTGGGAGGGTGGTATTGATGAGGGAGGGAAGAGAGGGAAGGAGAAAGAAAAGGGAGGGAGGGAGAGAGCGGGAGAAAGGAAGGATGAGAGGAAGAGAAGGAAAGAAAAGGAAAGGAGGCAGGCAGGAGAAAGAAAGAAAAAGAAAGAAAGAAAGAAAGAAAGAAAGAAAGAAAGAAAAGAAAGAAAAAGAAAGAAAGAAAGAAAGAAAGAAAAGAAAAGAAAAAAAGAAGGAAGAGAAGAAAAGAGAAGAAAAGAAAGAAAGAAAAGATAAGAGAAAGGTGGGAGGGTGGTATTGATGAGGGAGGGAAGAGAGGGGAAGGAGAAAGAAAAGGGAGGGAGGGGAGAGAGCGGGAGAAAGGAAGGATGAGAGGAAGAGAAGGAAAGAAAGAAAAGGAAAGGAGGCAGGCAGGCAGGGAGAAAGAAAGAAAAAGAAAAGGAAAGGAGGGAAGAAAGATTTGGAGTTCTAAGATGGAAGGAAGAATCTGGCCCTCAGTGTCCGAGCCTGAAGTTCGAGCCATTTGTCTGAAATGAGACAGGGTCTCCTCTAGCAGAGTGTTGAAGAACAGGATACCCGAGTGGGGAAGGGACCTCGGAGGTCTTCTAGTCCAACACTCTGCTAGAGGAGACCCTATATCCACGAGGGTGAACTGTGGTACGCGGAGCCATATTGGTGGGCACGCCATCGTTGCCCTAGCTCAGCTCCAGCGCACACGGCCAGTTGATTTTCAGGCCTTCCGGTCCCACCGGAAGTCACCAAACAGGCCGTTTCTGGCCTCCGGAGGGCCAGGGAAGGCCGTTTTTGCCCTCTCCAGGCTCCTAGAAAGCCTCTGGAGCCTGGGGAGGGCGAAAAACAGGCCTCTGGTCCCACAGAAGTCGGGAAACAAGACATTTCCGGATTTCAGAGGGCCTTGGGGAGGGGGGGAGGCCGTTTTTGCCCTCCCCAGGCTCCAAGAAAGGCTCTGGAGCCTGGGGAGGATGAAAAACAGGCCTCTGGTCCCACCAGAAGTTGGGAAACAAGACATTTCCGGCTTCCGGAGGGCCTCTGGGGGGGGGGGGGGAGGCTGTTTTTGCCCTCCAAAGGCTCCAAGAAAGGCTCTGGAGCCTGGGGAGGGTGAAAAACAGGCCTACCGGGCCATCACATGCCAAAAGCGTGGAGAGTGGGGGGGGGGTCATGTGCGCATGTGTTGGGGGCGGGGCACATTGAATTATGGGTGTGGGCACGTGTGTGCGTGATACCCCCCCCACACGCTCCCCCTGCTTTTGGCACGCGATGGCAAAAAGGTTTGCCATTACTGCCCTATATCATTTCAGACAAATGGCCGTCTAGTCCCTTTTTGAAAGCCTCCCCACAACTTAACTTACAACCATTCATTTAGTGTCCGTTCAAAGTTACAACGGCACTGGGGAGAAAATGACAACCGTTTTTCACGCTTACGACCGCTGCCGCATCCCCGTGGTCATGTGATCAAAATTCGCAGGCTGGCTCCTATTTATGACCGCCCGTTGTGTCCCGGAATCACATGATCCCCCAATTTTGCGACCTTCGGGATCAGCAAGTCAACGGGGAAGCTAGATTTGCTTCACCACCGGGTGACTCACTTAGCAACGGCAGCGACGGACTTCACGACTTGTGGCCAAAAAAAAAAAAAAAAAGGTCGTAAAATGGAGGCGAAGCTCCCTTATCCAATGTCTCGCTTAGCCGCACAGAAATTTCGGAATCGATTCCGGTCGAGGACTATCGGCAGACGTGGGATTCACTTAACCTTCCCTACCGGTTCGTAAATGTGAGCCCACGAATGCTCTTTGCTCTCGCGCGCGCCTTTGAAACGTGGCGAAAATAGGATGGCCTACTGCAGTCACCGCTACCGGTTTCCCCAGAACCGGCTGAATCCCACCACGGAATCGGTTAAAAAAAAAAAAAGAAATCAAAAGAAAACCACTCGCCTTCAGACCCGGAGGAGGGATTTTTTTTTGTTTTTTTTTTTTGAGAAAAGCCAGCATAAAGCATTTTTATTGCAGTAATAAAACTCTATACTTTCACATGATGATGATGAGGAAGAGGAGGATTGTGGACTGGGGGAAAAGAAGAGGGCAGTGGCGATTCTCTTACCAAAACTCACGACGGTGGGGAGCGGAGGGGGTGGGGTGGGGACCGTCGAAAGAAGGGATGGCACATGGAGTGGGGGGGCGTAAGGGGAGGGGGTCGCAAGAGCTGCAGACGACCAGCATCAGTTTTCCATAGAGAACTTACGGGGATTTTGGGGGGGTCGGTGGGATGAGGAAAGACAGGATGTTCCCCCCCCCCGCTCTTCCTCACTTTACGGCGAACAGCAGGACTTGAGTTTCGCTCGTCGTCGGACTGCTGGAAGTTAAAAAAAAAATCTCCAGGGGAGGGGAGGGAAAAAAAATCGAGTTTAAAAGCCGCGGATCTGTTCTCGTGGCGAGAAACCCTCTTTCCCCTTTGAATGGAAGCGATTTTGGGAGAATATGTGGGGGAGGACTAGGGCTGATGGGGAGGGGGGATTTCCCCTCTCTAAAGCCCCTCCAACAGCTTGGCAGGAGCTTCCAGAAGCAAATGGATTTTAACGTGATTCTTGCAGGGGGGGAAAAAAAAAAAGAGATTTGTATAGAAGGGGAGATGCCGACTAGAACGCCTCAATTGTACACAACTCAAGCCTACACCCCCAAAAAACCCTCAAATAATAAGATAATAATAATAATCGATCAAGGACATTGATTGTTCCCCCACTCCCCCCTTCCCAACACACAACCCACCCACCCCCACAAAAAATAATAGCTGAGGTTTATAAGCACAGAGCAGGGGAGTCCACAAACATGGCCCCGTTAGGACGGGCGGACGTCGACTCCCAGAATTCCTCAGCCAGCGTTGCGGGCTGAGGAATTCTGGGAGTCGAAGTCCTCCCGTCTTAAAGGGGCCGTGTTTTTTGCATCGGGTTCAAAAAAAACCGTCAAAGGAGAACGGAGGAAAATGAGGAAGCGGCTCAGAAACATTCAAATCGGGGCGGAGGTGCGACACCGAGAGAGTGGCGGGTAGCCGGGAAAGCTCCATACAAATTGGTGTGCGTTCATCTCAAAGCGAAGGACTCTGGGAATTCTCCGTGTGCCGAACCTGTCGAGACAAAATAAAGAGTGTGGGTTGGTGGCTGCCCTCCGGAGGTTGTGGGGGGGGGGGGGGGGGGGGGGGGGGGGGGGTGGCGGGGCCCGGCTTCCCCCCCTCTTTGGGCTTGGGGGTTTTGTCCCAAGGGGGGGGTCATGCCCCCCCCCCACGCCCACGCCCGGAGTCTGAATCGGCAGCTCTGTTGGCTTTGGAGGAAACTGGGGAAGGGCAGAGTCCGTCCAGGCAAGGCTGTTCCTCCCTGCAGGCAGGGAGGAGAGACAGAGCAAGGAGAGTGCCCCGCCCAGCTTCACCAGGCACACCTGGGGAATGAGACTTAAAGGAGATGCCGTGGGGAACAAACGCTGAGTTCCTGAAGACTCCTTGCATTCTTTGTTGGCGTTCTAGACTACCGTATTTTCCGGAGTATAAGACGCACTTTTCCCCCCTTCCCTAAAAGAGGGTGAAAATTTGAGTGCATCTTCTACACCGAATGTAGCCCCACCGGCCCCCACCCTTTGGCCTCTGCCTCCCAGCAATTTTCCCTCCTTGCAGCCCGGTTCTCAGCACAGCTGATTGTCGGTTGGATCGGCCTCCCGACCATCAGCTGTTTCAGGCTGCAGGGATTGCCACTGCCTGTTGCCCATTCCGATCCCCGCCGCCTGGAACGCACGGAGGCAACAATAAACTATGGCAATCCCTGCAGCCTGAAATAGCTGATTGTGGGGAGGACAATCCAACCGACAATCAGCTGTTTGTGCTAATCAGGCTGTGCTGAAGCTGAAATTGAAATGGGCTGTTTGCTGCAAGGAGGCAAATTGCTGGGAGGCAGAGGCAGATTTTTTTTTCTTGTGCTAATCAGGCTGTGCTGAAACTGAAACAGGCTGTTTGCTGCAAGGAGGCAAATTGCTGGGAGGCAGAGGCAGATTTTTTTTTCTTGTTTTCCTCCCCCAAAAAAGGTAGGTGCGTTTTATAGTCCGGAGCATCTTATACTCTGAAAAATACAGTAATTATCTGAATCTTTTGCTCCCTGACCTCCTTGCTTGATTCTTGTTTTGCCAAAGACATTTGGGATTTATTGCTGTGCAGCCTTGGTGCAGACAGCGCTGGGCTGGACTAATTGCAGCCAGAGGCTGCTTGAGGTTTGTGTGGGGGTTTGTTCTCACTCTGCTCTGGGACTTGCCAGAAACATGGGAACGTTTGGGGAGCTTTGGAGCAATAAAGGGGCGGTTTGAACTGCCAGCTGTTCATGTTATCTGTGTGCCATGCCCTGGGTCATCACAGGGGGTATAAAGTTGTGATTTAATGCTCTCAGAGCTGGGTGGTTTTCTCACAGACGTTTCGCGACCCAGCTAGGTAACATCATCAGTGTTCGAAGGCGACTAAAAGCCTAATCAAGGAAACAGCAAGAACTCTCCCGTAGATAATGACAGGGCAAGCTACTAGTATATAGGTAAAGGTAAAGGTTCCCCTCGCACATACGTGGTAGTCATTCCCGACTCTAGGGGGCAGCGCTCATCTCCGTTTCAAAGCCGAAGAGCCAGCACTGTCCGAAGACGTCTCCGTGGTCATGTGGCCAGCATGACTCAACACCAAAGGCGCACGGAGCACTGTTACCTTCCCACCAAAGATGGTCCCTATTTCTCTACTCACATTTTTTACGTGCTTTCGAACTGCTAGGTTGGCAGAAATTTGTATATAAGCAGAGAGCAAATCCCTTTCTCTTCTACCACTGATGATGTTACCCAGTTGGGTCACGAAATGTTTCCAAGAAAACAAATAGGCTCAGAGAAGACCATGGACCCCATAGTCCTCCTCCCCTCCCCTTCCTCCTCCTCCCCTCCGCAAAACCCTCTTTTCTAGCACTGAAGATGTTCCCTAGTTGGGTCATGAAACGTCTGCAAGAAAACCAAGTTTCAGAGAGTACATGGGATCCCAGATTCGTCCTCCTCTTCCTCCTCTCCACAACCCCTCCCCCTTTCTAGCACTGATGACGTTGCCTACTTGGGTTGTGAAATGTCTACAACAAAACAACCAAGCTCAGAGAGCACCAGGGACCCCACAGTTCAACTCTGAGCTTCAAAATTCTCTTCTATCGGTACACCTTGCTCTGCCAAGCTGACAGACCCCAACGCCCCCCGCCAAAAGGGCCCTCTTCCCGCAGTCAGCGCCCCCCCCTCCCCAAATGCCCATTTGGCAAAGGCTCTTGCGAGACGATCATTTACCCCAGAGCAGGGAAATGGGAGGACGGAGGCCTCTCGGTCATTCCAGCTTTACAAGCTCCACGTCAAAAATTAGGGTGGCGTTTGGTGGGATGATACCAGGGTGACCGGTGTGCCCGTACGCATAATCTGGAGATATTATCATCTTGGCTCTCTGGCCGACACTCATCTGGAAAACAAAGAGTGAGAAGTTAAGAGGGTGAGAAGCCGCGTGTTGTGACCCCGACTCCCGAGCCTGTCCTAACAGAGGAGGAGGACTCCGAAGGTGATGGGGAGGAACTGACAAGGCCTCCCTCTCCAGGACCCTCCTCTCTGGCAATGCCTCAGGTTCCCTCTGAAGGCCAGGAGGAACAGCCTGGGATGTGCCGGGAGGAAGGCATATCGGAGCACCCATTGATAGGGAGCGAGGATGATGAATCCTGGCTTGATCCCAGGCAGCGTCGGAGGGAGAAGCGTGCGCAGCAACGGAAGAGGCGTGGGAGGGCCAGAGATTGAGCTGAGTCACGGAGCCACACCCCACCAGGAATAAAAGTGGGTGGTGTTGCTCTTCAGGCTTTGTGACGGACAAAGTTAAACCCTGAAAGTCACATCATGATCTCTGAAATTCGGCTTGGATATATTTTGGACTGAACGTTGACTAAACTCTTGTCTCGTGGATAAATTGTTGCTCCTGGAACGGACTGAAGATAAGTCCTCTTCTGCTTTACGGGAGTGAAAACGGTCTTGGCAGGCATTCGGCAGTTTGCTGCCAAAACCTTGGTCTGCCAGGAATTCTAATCTGTTTACCTAATAAAATATTGGCAGGCATGCTTGGTATTACGTTTGCCTGTGTGAGGAAGGGGGACAGAACACCGCTCTGGGTTCAAGCAAAGACCGGAGAGTCCAAGCATGAAGAGATCATGTTGGTGGGAGGATGAGAGTAACTCAGGATTCTCAACCTTGGGACCTTGTGGATGTGTGGACTTCAAATCCCAGAATTCCCTCTCCAGCCAGCTTATGTCAGCCTATTGGTTTTCTTGGAGACGTTTCATGACCCGCCTGGGTAACATCATCAGTGCTAGAAGGGAGAGGGGGTTTGCTGCCTGTTTATATTGCTGTCTGAGGAGCCTCGATGGTGCAGCGGACTAAGTGCTGTTAAGTGCTATCACTTAGCTGCCAGCTGCCTGCAATTAGTGAGAGTTCAAATCTCACCAGGCTCAAGGTTGACTCAGCCTTCCATCCTTCCGAGGTAGGTAAAATGAGGACCCGGATTGTGGGGGCAATAAGCCGACTTTGTATAAAACAACACCACTTGGGGGGGGGGACCGAAAGCCCTAATAAGCAGGTATATACATAAAAGTATGCAGGCTATTGCTATAATGCATTGTAAGCCGCCCTGAGTCTACGGAGAAGGGCGGTATATAAATTGGACTAATAAATTGGACTAATAAATATATACAAGTGGCACTTGCCCTGTCAGCGTCGATGGGAGTGTTCTCCACGATTCCTTCGTTAGGCTTTTGATCGCCTGCTAGCACTGACGACGTTACCTAGCTGGGTCATGAAATGTCCCCAAGAAAGAACCCAGCTCAGAGAGCATTCAGGAGCCCACAGAGTCCTTGATGCCACTGACTGAAACACGCTTTTGTTCAAACCAAAATGAAGAGATGGGGAGACTGGCCTCTTGCCAGCCGCTTCTCCGTTTGTGGCAACCCCGGGGGCACCACGCCCTGGCGAATCAGCTACCCCTTCCAAGCCCCCTCCATGCTGGCTGGGGAATTCTGGGAGTTGAAGTCCACACGTCCTCTCTCAAGGTTGAGAAACACACCACCCTGGATCCCGATTGTTTCCTGCCTCCAAACCGGAATGGATAGATGGCAGGGGTGAAAAGCTCTGAAGTCTGCTACCAGTTCGCTGCGCTACCAATTTGTTGCAGGTGCGTGGTGCGTGCCAAGCGTGCGCTTCATTCGCAACCGCACTGCAGGCGCTACCGCGCAGCGCTGAAAAAGGAGGATGAAGAAGCCTTTTCTGAGTCTGCAAAGGTACATTGTACAGCGAGGGGGAGGGAACAGCTGTGCTGCGCGATTTAGATTCGCCAGAAAGCAGGATCACGCGGCACAGCTGATTATTGGAAATACCGGTTCACCCGAACCAGTAGCGTTTTTTTTACTACCGATTCGCCTGAACTGGTAGCATTTTTTACTACCAGTTCGGGAGAACTGGTTCGAACCGGTAGCATTTCTCCCCTGACGGATGGACGGATGGACAGCAAGATCAGCCCTTTCTCCTGGCCTCCAACACTACCAGCCTACCTGGGCGACCCCTTCTTCCCAGCCGCGGATGACTTCCTGTTTGCCCATCACGAACTTGAACGGCTTGCCCCGGTCACGAGACGAGTCAAACTTCTTCCCGTCTTCCAGCATGCCTGTGGGGAGGAGCAAAATAAAGCTTTTTTTGTCTTCTTTCGAGCAGCGAGAGGAAGCAGACAGGAGCTGCACGAAGGAGAGGAGCTGGGGTAGAATTCGGAGACGGTGGGGAAGACCAGGACTTGGGTTTAGGACAAGGACATTCAAGCTGTAGTGTCGGAGAGAGACAGGATAACAGAACAGTTGGAAGGGACCTCGGAGGTCTTCTAGTCCAACCTCCTGCTCAAGGAGGAGAGTGGCCGAGATGGGAGGGGGAAGGAGTGAAGCGAGGAATTAGCCTGGAATCCTTACATAGGCACAAGAGGGTAAATTCCAACTCCCTTTGAATGCCATTGAATCTTTATCTAGTCTGGCCCAGGTGCAAAGTGGCAGTCTGGGAATATCCTTGTAAAATAGGCATAAGCAATAAAGTGGTTCATTAAAAGGATAACAAAACAGAATGACAGAGTTGAGAAGGGACCTTAAGAAGTCTCCTAGTCCAACCCTCTGCTCAAACAGGAAACCCTATACCAAGTCAGACAAATAGCGGCCCAATCTCTTAAAGACCTCCAAACCGTCGACTTCAAGAGGCAAGTAGTTCCACTGGTTAATTGTTCTGGAACACCAATGGAGGATTTTCCCCAAGCAAAATTCAGCCATACAGACCAGAAGACAGTGTGAAGACAGCCAGCTCCAGCAAACTTTCATGCAAGTCCTCCTTGACACACAGCCCTTCAAGTCTTCGCCTTATGACCACAACTGAGACCAGAATTTCTATTGCTAAGCAAGGTGGCTGCTAAGTGAGTCATGTCCGGTTTTTATTTGCTGCCGTTGCCAAGCCAGTCATTGCCGTTGCTAAGCGAATCATGCGGTCGTTAAGACGAATCCAGTCTTTCTCCTTGAGTTGATTGTTGCTGTTGGAAGACGACTGGGAAGGTGGCGAATAGTAATCCCAGCACCGAGGGACTTTGCAATTGTTGTGAATATGTACCAGTTGCCAACCGGGTGGATTTGATTTAAATCAAGTCAATTTAAATCACTTAGTAAAAAGGCTTGACTGAAATCATCTCGATTTAAATCATCATTTTTAAAGAGGAACTGTCATTTCTGTCCCGCAGCGGCTCCTCCTCTGACTCGCCGTTGACTCACCGACAGTCCCAGTCACTTTAACGGGTTGGCTGGCGATGCGGCAGGGACACCACAAGGTGAGGGACATGGCGGGCAGCAGGTGAGTGGATGCCCGCTAACAGGCGCTGCCAGGATGGATCTGAAATGACAGGTGCTCTTTAAACGTTAAGGACTCAGCCTTGCCGAGAATCTTTTAATATTATTATTTGCAAACAAAATGAAGGTTTCCTGTTTAGCTTGCAGAGCTTGGATTCATTGAATGAGTTTACCAAAAATGTAAATATTGCAGAATATTACAGCCTCATGCTACATAACTAAGCTCCATTTCATGCTGTATTTTAAATAGAAACCTTCTCTGTAGATTTTTACTCCAAAAGCATTTTATTAAAGTAAATTTGATTTTAAAAAATCTTAAAAAATGTGATTTAAATTAAAAAAAAACTGTTTTTTTAATTTTTTTTTTAAATCATCTATTTTTATCCACCCTGGTTGCCAAGTGTCCGAATCGTGACCACGTGACTCCAGAGATGCTGCAGGGGTCGTAAGTGTGAAAAACAGTCATAACTCTCCATCCGTAAGGATATATCTTATTTGTCTGTTTTGCTAATCTATTTTTGCACCTGGTGCAGCTGAGAGGCTTGCGAAGAGAATAACAGCAATCCATGCTAAGCACCCTAGCCCACCCTTGTGTTATCCTGCACACTTTGTGATAAAAAAAATCAGACCCACAATTTCCTCTTTTTTTTTTTTTTGGCTGAAAACGTTTCTTCCAGCAGCATTTTCTTTTTTTTTTTCTTTTATTGATTTTCTATTAAATACATTTCTTGTTTGGTGGCCATTCAAAGTTACAGCGGCATTGGAAAAAAGTGATTGATTTTAAATTGATTTTAAATTTGATTTATATGCTGCCCTTCTCCAGAGACTCAGGGCGGCTTACAATGCGTTAAGCAATAGCCTTCATTCTTTTGTATATTTATACAAAGTCAGCTTATTGCTCCCACAATCTGGGTCCTCATTTTACCTACCTTAGAAAGGATGGAAGGCCGAGTCAACCTTGAGCCTGGTTAGATTCGAACCTGCAGTAATTGCAGGCAGCTGGTGCTAATAACAGGGTGCTTTAGACCACTGTACTACCAAGGCTCTTAGAATCATGTTTCACACTTATGACCGTTGCAGCATCCCCGGTGGTCACGTGATTAAAATTCAGAAGCTCGGCAACTGATTCGTATTTACAACCGTCGCAGTGTCCCGGAGGGGAAGGGGGGGGTGTCACGTCACGCGATCCCCTTTTGCGACCTTCGGGCAAGCGAAGTCAATGGGGAAGCCGGATTCGCTTAGCAACCGGGTTACCGAATTTAATACCTGCAAGTGGTCCACTTAACAAACGCGGCGAGAAAAGTCGTAAAAATAGGACAAAACCCTCTTCACAAACGTGTCGCTTTAGCAACATAAATTCTGGACTCCGTTGTGGTCGTAAGTCGAGGACCACCTGTATTTTATGTTCTATGTTCTATTTCAGGTCAGCAAGTCTGCGGGGATGTCTTGGGAAGTCCTGATTCTTGCCTGCAAATCATTTCTGGAAAGGCCCCGTGTCTAAATTAATCCTAGTTTTATTAATTTTAAATTAATTATTGTCCCTAGTTTTCAGATATATGGAACAAAAGGTAGGAAGAAGAGGAATTTTATTTCCAACAGGATATTTTGCAATGGTTTGGCCAAACGAGAAACCCTTTGTGTCACACACATGCCTATTAAATTATTAAATTTGTTAAATCTGTTGGTCACCCACCTTGCCATGAGGAGACTCTGGGTGATTTACGACGTTAAAGTGAAATTCTAAATACAGGTAATCCTTGACGTACAGCCACAGCTGAGCCCAAAATTTCCGTTGCTAAGCAAGACGGCAAGCAGGTTTTGCCCCATTTTTATGTTGTTAAGTTAGTAACACGGTTGTTAAGTGAATCTGGCTTCCCCCATGGAGTCTGCTTGTCAGAAAACAGGTTGCAAAAGGGAATCGGCTGACCCCCAAATGTTTGTCAAAGAGTCTCGGAATGGAATGGAATGGAATGGAATGGAATGGAATGGAATAGAATAGAATAGAATAGAATAGAATAGAATAGAATAGAATAAAAAATGTGGAATGGAATGGAATAGAATAGAATAGAAAATATGGAATGGAATAGAATGGAATGGAATAGAATGGAATGGAATAGAATAGAAAATGTGGAATGGAATGGAAGAATGGAATGGAATGGAATGGAATGGAATGGAATGGAATGGAATGGAATAGAATAGAATAGAATAGAATAGAAAATGTGGAATGGAATGGAATAGAATAGAATAGAATAGAAAATATGGAATGGAATAGAATGGAATGGAATGGAATGGAATAGAATAGAAAATGTGGAATGGAATGGAAGAATGGAATGGAATGGAATGGAATGGAATAGAATAGAATATAGAATAGAATAGAATAGAATAGAATAGAATAGAATAGAATACAATAGAATAGAAAATGTGGAATGGAATGGCTTCCCCCATGGAGTCTGCTTGTCAGAAAACAGGTTGCAAAAGGGAATCGGCTGACCCCCAAATGTTTGTCAAAGTCTCGGAATGGAATGGAATGGAATGGAATGGAATGGAATGGAATGGAATGGAATAGAATAGAATAGAATAGAATAGAATAGAATAGAATAGAATAGAATAGAAAATGTGGAATGGAATGGAATGGAATGGAATGGAATGGAATGGAATGGAATGGAATGGAATGGAATGGAATGGAATGGAATAGAATAGAATAGAATAGAATAGAATAGAATAGAATAGAATAGAATAGAATAGAATAGAATAGAAAATGTGGAATGGAATGGAATGGAATAGAATAGAAAATGTGGAATGGAATGGAATGGAATGGAATGGAATGGAATGGAATGGAATGGAATGGAATAGAATAGAATAGAATAGAATAGAATAGAATAGAATAGAATAGAATAGAATAGAATAGAATAAAATGGAATAAAATGGAATAGAATAGAAAATGTGGAATGGAATGGAATAGAATAGAATAGAAAATATGGAATGGAATAGAATGGAATGGAATGGAATGGAATAGAATAGAAAATGTGGAATGGAATGGAAGAATGGAATGGAATGGAATGGAATGGAATGGAATGGAATGGAATAGAATAGAATAGAATAGAATAGAATAGAATAGATAGAATAGAATAGAATAGAATAGAATAGAATAGAATAGAAAAGAAAGAAAAGAAAAAAAATGTGGAATGGAATGGCTTCCCCCATGGAGTCTGCTTGTCAGAAAACAGGTTGCAAAAGGGAATCGGCTGACCCCCAAATGTTTGTCAAAGAGTCTCGGAATGGAATGGAATGGAATGGAATGGAATGGAATAGAATAGAATAGAATAGAATAGAATAGTAGAATAGAAAATGTGGAATGGAATGGAATGGAATGGAATGGAATGGAATGGAATGGAATGGAATGGAATAGAATAGAATAGAATAGAATAGAATAGAATAGAATAGAATAGAATAGAAAATGTGGAATGGAATGGAATGGAATAGAATAGAAAATGTGGAATGGAATGGAATGGAATGGAATGGAATGGAATGGAATGGAATGGAATGGAATGGAATGGAATGGAATAGAATAGAATAGAATAGAATAGAATAGAATAGAATAGAATAGAATAGAATAGAAATAGAATAGAATAGAATAGAAATAGAATGGAATAAAATGGAATAGAATAGAAAATGTGGAATGGAATGGAATAGAATAGAATAGAAAATATGGAATGGAATAGAATGGAATGGAATGGAATGGAATAGAATAGAAAATGTGGAATGGAATGGAAGAATGGAATGGAATGGAATGGAATGGAATGGAATGGAATAGAATAGAA